CACACAAATAGATAACTAATAACAAATATTATATAGGCCTATATAAAATATATTTATTACATAAATGTCATGTCGAATTAATTTGGAAATTATAGTGGGAAACAGAGTGCGATTCTTTCCGGTTTAAGTAGACCTACATCAACCCAATTCTGTCGATCAATCTTTGAAGGTTGTGACCCAATTACATGGAAAACCCCTACCTACCACACAAGTGATTAGACTAAATGCTAAATAGGCCTACGTTTAGACAGAAAAGGCGGGTTAGTGAATGAGCATTCGGGTGGATCGATTTCATTTCAATTTTGTTTTCGTCACTCGATTAAAAATACAAAAACACAAAGTAAGACAATTAAGTATTGATCACTTTATAATAACGACTTCCTGGTCTCCAGCCCCATCCAACAACTTGAGGTACAAATTATTCGTGTGCATAAAATGTATACCGGTATAGGCCTAATAATGTGCCGTATCATATACCGGTAACAAATATTTTTTAAAGATATAGGCCTACATTTATAAAATGCATTATAATTTGGTTGTGCAAAGAATTCATAAAAATTACCAAAAAAAAAAAATGTAAGTTAAAAATCAAACACTTCAATTTATAAAAACTTTTAAAATTTAAAAAAAAAAGCTTTAAAAACACTTTAAAACACTTGAAGATTGGACCCTGACCGAAATAGTTGGATGGATGGAAGAAAGGAAGGATAAAATATAAAATGTTATAATTATAGGTCCAAATGTATTATTTATGTGGTTGTGTACGGTATATCAATTCGGACGGCTTTTCCGTTTACTCGATATTCTGATCGGTTCGGTAGGCTTTCGGACCAGACTCAGACTCGGTTAAATTTATATATAAACGTATACAGGCCTAGATTTAAGCATATTAGCCATATACAATGGCCATATTATATAGACATTATGTAAATAAACAAAACTAACAAACAGAATGTAGTAGTACAATTCACTTTTTAAACCTCATCCAGCATTTGCCCGAATTCTAAAAATAGGAACTGTGCGGTACAACCCACATACATCTCTGTGGCAGATCAATGAAAGAAATGTTAGCAGAGCTTGGGACCTGAGTCCATCACACCTCAGATAAACCATTATGGTTAGGACATAAACATTTAAGGGATGCTTGTACCGATATAGAAGTTTCATGTCTTTTTTACATCAGTGAAATGGCATAAGTGTCTTATTGGTAAAAATCAGCAGTATATTTGAGTCTTGCATGAGAGTCCACTTACAATGTACGGCAATGCCTCACCCTTGACATATGATAAAGACCAGAAAACTACGGTACATGTGCAGTCGAGTATGAGTATGGACCTATTAATAAGATGGGGAGGGTGAGTTACCGAACATTATTTTGTATGCTCGAGTTTGCACAGTTTCACACTCACACATTTCTCTTTTTCATCATTACTGTCAGACAGTTCAGAGATTATCTATTTATTGCTGTATACACAGCACTTAAATAAATGATAGTTGATAGCCTATATAACCTATTTATACTGCTTAATTGTATCTTGTTTAGAAAAAAAAATAGATTGATGGAAGGTGGTGGCTTTACCAAAATAAAACATATAACTATATCCAAAGTTGAATGTAAATAAACCATGTTTTCTGGATTCGTTTGAAGTAAGCCAAGCCTAGCTACGTGTTTTGTATTGAACTCTAAACATTTACTTACGAGCTTGTATCCAGACTTTACTATGAGCTAAATAGGTTCAATCACAGGTCACATTGGGGGAATAATTATTCAAACGGTCGCAATAGTCAAGAAATAGCCCCTGCTGGGGAAATTAGTAGGATCAAGATTTATTAAATATTTTACTGTAATTCCATGCAAAATAAATTACCGCACTTCCGTTAATTTGAGAATACGTTTGAAATGTAATTAATCTGTACTGGAATTGGGGCGGCCCACAAGTTAAGTGAACTAACGTTTTGGTAATAACTGGTTAGCAACCCTGGCAGGAAACAGAGCAAGATGCTCAGTGGCGTAAAGTGCCCTTTCAGTGGTGGCGCCAGCGGGGGGGGGGGGGGGGAGGGAAATTTTTCCCCCGTCGGACTGTCCTGTACCCCCTGTCGTACGACCTAAAAAGTTGTTAAAAATATTTGCCTATCAAAATAACGTTATTTTGATTGCCAATCCCAATTGTTGTGGTCTAAAAGCACAATTTGGACCATATAAGCTCTATAAAGGCCAACTCAGACATCGTCGTACTACGCAGCCCGACGCGATTTATCGTCGGGGACAGTCTTGAGCCGGTCTCTTATACACATCT